GAGCTCGTTATAGCAGGATGGATTCTGATTGGCTGTCATTGTTTTATCGTTCATCAGCTGGAATAAAATCGTTTTGAAAGTGATTCCAACGATATCGTTCCTCTGTATCGTTATCGTTATAGTTGTGGTGTGATCTACGCTATTCTTTAATATTGAGAACGATTTTTAGAACTATATCTTTATCGTTATCTTTATAGTTATCGTGCTTGGTGTGAACAGACCTTAACTGCAATGAACTGATGATGGCATAAGGTGATTAAAATGCTGAAAAACTTTGGGGGGGAAAAAAGAGGAAAGGACCTGGACTGAACACTTTTCCTGAAACTTTAATAAACTACCCATTTACTTATTAAATAGCAGTACTGAGAAATTTTAAATAACCCTCAAATAGAAAACAACCCAAACATCTCTCCCTTACCTCAATTAACGATCCAGGGGCAAGGTACATCTTAATAACAAACATGATGGGAATCCATATGACAGAACAGATGACCATAAGCCAGCCGAGAACCATAGACCAGGTCGGATAAGTGTAATCCTCATATGTCATCCCCTTCCACTGGTACAGACTAAGTGCCAAGATAAACTAGAGAGAGAGAGAGAGAGAGAGACAGAGAAAGAGAGAGGAAGGGTCAGTGGCAGCACTAACCAAAAGTAATAGTACTGATGGATTTGTGCATGCAACGACATTGGATGTGTGTCAAGAATGGTCATATAAGGTATAAGGTGAACATACTGTGAGAATAGTTGGTGTGACAAAGGCCCAGCAGATTCTCCAAAACTTGTTTGGCTGGAACCCAATCATCATCTCAATGTCCTCACAGAACCGCTGTAGTCCTGCACCACAAATACAGGAAGGAAGAAAGTCAACAGGCATTAAGATTTTAGCACTTCTGGTTCCATCCTCCCTAAGTGAATGGGTTTTGTGAATAGTTTTTGGTTAAATGCATGAATTAAGGTCTATGGTTCACACAAACAAAGATATTTTCACATTTGTGGCTAAATGAAAATAGATTTTGTCAGGGACATTAAACATCATCAGGCTGAACAAGTAAACTCATCGACTCGCTAGTCCACTTTCACAGTTTTTACTATTTATCAGCTATATATCTAATAAATTAATGTTACTAAACTAATCAAAACCTATAACTTAAAAAGGCTTAACAGGCTTAGCCTGCATTTTAGCTTGAACCTATTCATTGCTGCCTGCTTGTTTGTTTAATTACTTGTAATTTTCTTTTTCATTACCTAAAAATCTGATTCCTGCTGTGCACTAAAATAAATGACTGGAGTAAGTCTAAAGACAAATTTTGTAAACTCACCATAAATGTACGAGATTCCAATCAGTTCGAATATGGCAATGATGACCAGAGAATAAGAGGCTGCAAAAGTGTCCACCAGCTGAAGCATGTACATTCCACTCTGTGCGTGAAAACACAAACACATATGTACAGTTAAAATAAAAATAAATGAGACCTAATCTAAAAATCACCCAGTGAATCACTTTAATTAAAAAACAAACAAACTAACATTAATTCTAGACCTTTCCAATTATCTGCTTTAGGATATTCCATTCCAGTCTATTTACTTTCCTATTTACTTGGGGGGTTTTTTATTGTTTACCAGAGAGCTGCTTTAATTAAAGTGTGCTATAAAGGTAAAGTTCTTGCAGATGGGAATAAGAGTAAATGTCCTACCTCAGTGATCATGGGGAAACCCAGCACAAAAAAGGACAAACAGCAAACCAAAGTGAACAGAGGCTTGTGTTTGCGCAGGTACTTGGGGAACTCATCAGAAACAGACGTCACTATAGTTTCTATGGTGGCAAACTGGAGAGAAAAAAAAAATTAAATGAAAGAACGAAAGTGTGAATGAAAAGCAATTTAGTTATTTATTGGGTTTTTTTTTTTACTGTGATCACATTACAACTGAAAAAAAAAAAACTGTAAATCATACAATTTATGATTCCCATTACCATAGTATCCAGACCAAGTGTAAGCAGCATGAGGAAGAAGATGATGGCCCAGAATGGTGACAAGGGCAACCTAGTCAGAGCCTCTGGATAGACCACAAAAGCAATTCCTGGACCTAAACAAAAAGAGCATATTTACAGACCAGACTGATCAAATGACTTTTAGGTGTGATGAAAGTGAAAACAGTTTTGTATATTTAGAAAAAAAAAAAAAAACAGCAACCAGACATCTGATCATAGTTAATCATAGCTCACCAGCCACAAACACATGCATTCATACTACCTACCTTCATCTGCCACACTCTCAATTGGGACTTTGAGCTCATGAGCCATGAAGCCAATAACTGAAAAAATGACAAAACCAGCAAAAATACTTGTGGCACTGTTAGTGCATGTCACAATGAGAGTATCCCTGTAAAACAACAGAGACAGAGCACATCATGTAATCTCACATCATAAATCATTTTCATAAGACAGATGTTATTTTGAGCAGATGTGTCTATTGAATGTGCACAATGCCAGTTACTTTTGCAGTTTTAGTTTTGAAATGAATATGAAAGAATAACATTATTATATACTCTTGATTACAGTGACTCATTTGTTTACATTTGATAATTCAAATATTATACAGTACTGCATTAATTTGATAAAAAATACAATAAAAATAGTAATATTGTGAAATATTATTGAAATTAAAAAAAATCTATTTTAATAGATTTTAAAGTGTGATTTATTCCTGAGACAGCAAAGCTGAATTTTCAGCATCATTACTCCAGTCTTCAGTGTCACATGATCCTTCAGAAATCATTCTAATATGCTGATTTGCTGCTCAGGAAACATGTATTATTATCAGTTTTTAAAACAGTTGTGCTGCTTAATATTTTTGTGGAAAATGTGATACATTTGCACATTTTACATTTCTTTGATGAATAGAAAGTTCAAAAGAACAGCATTTATTTTTAGTAACATTATAAATATCTTTACTGTCACTTTTGATCAATTTGATGCATTGTTGCTGAATACAAGTATTAATTAAAAAAAAAAATTAAAAAAAACTCACTGACCCCCAAAAAAATAAGCATACATTGTACAAGTAAATAATACATACATAGAAGAAT